TGCCAAAGTCAAAGATAGCTTGTCTAATAAGACAAGGCGTATCAGTTATTTCAACTTAATCAGTGCCTCGATTCTCAAACTTTGAAAAATTTGAGAAATCGTAGGGGATATTAATTCATGATAGACTTTTCTTGAGGTTAAGTTTGACCTCAGGGAAGGTGAGCAGTAGCAGGTACCACATGTTGACATACAACGAGACGAAGAGGCACCAATCAATAGCAACAGACCATGCCATGATGACCAACTGAAGCTTTTCATCCAAGGATGCATGACGCAGGAAAAGAAGGATGCCATGTCTGAGTTACATTACACAGGAGATTACAAAGAGTTAGCATTATAGTACATTGAGGTTACTAGCTTGAGATACAGATACGATCAGACTATGTCGACGATGCAGGTGCAATGTTTGCCAGGTGCTGTATGTAGGCGTGCCGCACTCACTTGATGAGGAGCAGGTGTGCCGCAATACAATGTGCCGCGAACGGTGTGCCGCGTTATCGAGCAGACGTTCATGAAAGGTAACTACCGAGATTGCTAGTTGACCTCATTTGTACATATGCGTATCTCTGAAACTTTCCGTGTGTACCAATGACTTGGGTTCCACAACTAACGTTCAGACTGAAGATCAGCAAACGGTCAGGAGATAATGACCAGACTACGCTCAAGAAGCATGTTTTTAATATCATGTATAATCAGTGGAACGATTTATTTCAGGAAAGTGTCCATTCTCAGTCTGCAGCATCCAACAATTCACTTAATTGTGAATTGATGACTTCTCAGTTCAGATCAAGTCCATTATTCAGTATTAAAGTACTGAATTTTCAAGTCATGTAATCAGTAAGTATAAGCCTTATGTTAAGCTTGTACATCCAGTTTAGTATTTTCGAGGACGGAAATATTTTAAGGAGAGTGGATTGTAACACCCCGAGTTTTATTAATAAAGGGAAATACTAGCTTTTAATTTTAAGCTAGTCTTTGTTAATAAATAATCATGTTCATGTTCAAGTTCATGTTAATCAGCTAGTTATATTCCAAGTTCGACTATTAGTCGATAAATTATTCGGTTTAATTATTTCAGTAACCGAATAAGTTTCCAGATTTAATTCCGATTCGTTTATTAATTAATGAGTTCGGAATTAATAAGTTAAGTTGACGAATTATTCGAAATATCAAAATTTGGATTAATCATCGAAGTTAAGTTCCGATCGAAATTAAGTAAATTCGGTGTAAATTATAATGTTTAATCTCAAGTTAAGAATACCAAGCTTTAGTTCATAAATTCTATTATGAAATCATGTTTTAAATATATGGTTTATATGCTTAAGATCATGCGCCATCAAGTAAGTGTTGGGCCTTGCTTAGTCTTAGTAAGTCATGTTTCAAATTGTCCAAGTTGTATACGCCCTAGTAATCAATCTTAGTGCCAAGTCCATGCAAATCATTAAGAGTCAATTGGCCATGCTTATTTTAACCTTAAGTAAATTGCCGTAACTAGTATATTATATGTACAACTTGCTCATGAGTTAGCTAGTGGTTTGTAGCTATGTGGCATTATTTAGTTCATGTAAGTGATGACTAGGCTCAAGTCATGCCACCAAGCTATCTTATAAGGCCATGTGTACTTTAAAAAGGACACATCATGTTTAAACACATCTCACGTCTATATAAGTGAAGGATTGGGGAAATCAACATATAATCTTGCAAACCGAGAGCTTATAAAGAGCTAGTGCCGAGAGCAAAGTGAGAAAATAATTTTATTAGCTTGTACATAATTAAATCAAGTAAATCATTAAGCTTTATTTCCCCAACACCTATTTGGCTTCATGGAGCAATTGGAAAGTGTCAAGATCATATTTAAGTTAATTTATTTAGTAAGGAGTAGCACCAGCAGGCCGTCGCCGAGAAGCTGAGTACACGCGAGCCTTGCGTGCGGTCACTAGCCTTAGTACCTTTCGCGAGAAATTGAAAGGTAAGCTCGTATTAGCATTTTATTATTAAGCATTTGATCGTATAAGGTTAAGCATATAGATGTTTTACAGTCGAGGCTCACTATTTGGTCGTTTTGCTTTCGTAGGCGCCATGTAGGCCCTACCGAGCTATCTCATTTTCTAGCTGGGATCTTCCGAACGTTCTATTCATTTGTAAACTTATTACGTCATGTAAGTAGAATTGAGTTGCAGTTGTCGGATTAAGTCTCCAGACGGCCGGCAAGGTGCCGGTCGTTATGCCCTGCCGCATGTAGCGGATGCAACGCGCCCAGCAGTAACCCAAGGCTGCGGATGACTTGCGTGTGCCTAGTCGGGCGTCGCGCATAGTAATGTCGCAGCGTCTAGTAGCGTACCGCTATCAGGCTTGTGCGTAGGTATGCGTAGTACACATCAGTCACGCACGTCAGCACGTAATCGGTTTACGTGCGTCCAGTGCCCGTAGCGCGTGTCAAGCATAGACAGCGTCCGAAATGCCTAGCCACTCTGCAGTACGCGTGCCATCAGCCAGCAGTGCCTTGTGCACGCTGGTTAGTCTCAGTGCATGTCTGTGCGCCCAGTTGCCTGTCCGCAGGGCCAGTAGCGCCCGACAATGCTCAGACGCGCAAGTTCCGGTGCCAGCAGCACCCGACAGCGTCTAATTGTCATGTTATAAACCAATCGTCGTCGGCTGTGCTCGGTCACGCCCGATGGGCGTTCCATGTATGCGCGCGGTGCCAGTCGCCGCGCCAGTGCCCAAGTTAGGTCCAGTTGCATGCCAGCATACGCGATCTTCTATGATCGTGCCCAGAGCTGTCCGGCTAGGCCGACTGCAGTCAGGCCATAGCCGTCCACGTCAATGACCGCGCTCGGGCTCCAGTAGACCCAGCGCGAGACCGAGCCGATTGACTGAGCCAGCGGCCGACCGCCCTGCCACAGCGAGCCGGCGGTCCGACCAGCTAGTGAACCGGCTGGTTCAGACAGGTTATTTCTATGTCTAATATTATTTTGGTCCAATCTAAGTTATGTTAGATATTCCAGTTAAGTTCCAGGTCCAGTCAGCTAGTTCATGAAATCAATTAAGTTATCAGTTCAGTTCAGTAATTTCAGTTATGTTCAAGTCAGTCTATGTTGAGCCCTAGTTCATGTCAATAAATCCAGTTAAGTCATGTCAGTTCAGTCGAGCATCTTAACATCTATTTTAATCAGTTTGAGCATAGTACTTAGTAATTGTTTATATATGTCAGTTTTGCAGGCAATCAGCACTTACATTATCAGATCAGCAGTTCAGGTGGGGACTTAGACTGGGTATTACATTGATTATAATTACGGTACCATGTTTGAGGTATGTATTATCAGTTCAGTATCCACTCGGAATGGTCGCCGATCCATACTGGGTTCCAGTGGCTTAGTCTGCCCACTAGAGTGTGCACATGGTGTCCGACATTTATGCTGGCAGATGTTCAGGTATCAGTCAGGTGATGTTTATCACGAGATCAGATCATGATTATTCAGTACCGGTTTCATGTTTATGTTCATGCCAGGATCATGATATTGTTATTATTTTCACTGTTTAGTTTAGTATGAGTTTCTGCGGAGCACAGTGTATTAGTGCTCATGCCCCCACGTTATTCATGTTTTTCAGGTCACAGAGTCGGAGCCGAGGAGTGAGCGGGCGACCGGTTCAGGACATTTGATTATATGTGTATATTATGTTTGGCTACGCTATGATTCCGCTACTGTTTTCAGAACTTTAAACCAGCTTTTGACCCGACGTTAGTCGATTAAGATATTATATAACCGTTTTATTATTAAACTAAAATAATGGTTTCAGATAAAGTCAGATTTTACGGTAGCACCCCGAATCAGTATTTCGCAAATGAAATGTTTTATTTAGAAAAATTTTGCGAAAAGCGCGCTCTGAATTTCATGAAATAGCGGGGTGTTACATTGCATATATGATATGTTCTGATGAGTTGCCCTTTAAATTTGTAGAAAGCCGAGGGTTTAAAATGTTTCTGAGCAGAGCATGTCCTAGGTTTAAAATTCCTTCTCGGACCACTATTACAAGGGATTGCTTTGATATGTTTGTTAAAGAGAGGTCAAAGTTGAAATCTTTTTTGAAAAGCAACTGTCAAAGGGTTAGTCTCACCATTGATACTTGGACGTCTCTGCAAAAAAATAATTATATGTGCATCACCAGCCACTTCATTGATAATGATTGGAATTTGCACAAAAAAATCTTGAATTTTGTTCCCGTTACTAGCCACAAGGGTGATTATATTGCAATGTCACTTGAAACTTGCATTCTTTATTGGGGGCTAAAAAATGTCTTTACGATATGGATAATGCAAGCTCCAATGATACGGCATTGGCATATTTGAAGAATAGAATGATGAATTTGGGGGATACAATTGCAAATTGTAAATACATTCACATGAGGTGCATTGCCCATATTATTAATTTGATTGTTAGCGAGGGCCTTAAAGATTGAAAACCATCGGTGAAGCGGGTGAGGGCGGCTATTAGATACATAAATTATTCCCCCGCTAGACTTTGAAAATTTAAAGAGTGTGTTAAATGGGAGGGTATAGAGTCCAAAAAGTCATTATGTTTTGATGTCAAAACGAGGTGGAAATCGACTTATTTGATGCTAAGTACGGCGGAGAAATTTGAGAAAGCATTTTATAAGTATCAAAGAGAAGAAACTTCTTTTGTGAGGGATTTGGGTGATGATTTAGTTCATAGTTCTTATGATTGGTCTTGTGCTCGCAAAATTTCCGAATTATTGAAGTACTTTTATGATGCTACCTTACGGATTTCAGGCTCTTTGTATGTCACTTCGAATACTTTTTTAGCGAGATTAGCGATTTGTGTTGCATTCTGGATGATTGGAGAAGGAGCGATGACCTTTTGAAAAAGGACTTGGGTGACTTAATGAAAACGAAATTTCTTAAATATTGGGGAGAGCCGGGATGCATGAATAAAATTATCATTTGGGCAAGCATTTTTTATCCGAGAGAAAAATTTGAGTACATGGCTTACACTTTGAATGAGATGTATGGGGTTGAAAAGGGGGAGAAAATTCTTGAGGAAGTGAAGCATGAGCTCTTTGAATTATTCAAAGAGTATAAGAAGAAGTATGATCGGGAAAATGATGCAAATGCTAGCATTGGAATTCAAACAACTTCAACTTCAAGTGCTAGCATTGAAAGTATTAGTACCAAGCCCGAATCAATTTTAAAAGCTAAGTTCAAGAGACAAAAGTTAGCGAGCGGGGGTTATGCAAACAAAAAATCCGAACTTGAAGTCTACTTGAATGAGGATGTGCTCGAGGGAGAAGAAGATCTTGATGTTTTAAAGTGGTGGAAATCAAATTCCGAACGTTTTTGGGTTCTTTCAAGGATGGTTCGGGACACGTTGGGTGTTCCAATATCAACCGTTGCATCAGAGTCGGCCTTTAGCACCGGTGGGCGGGTGCTCGACAAATTTAGGAGTTCGTTAACTCCTAAAATTATTGAAGCATTGATATGTACACAAGATTGGCCCCGAAATGAATGCGTCTTTTATGTGTTGAAGAGTCATTGGATGAACTAGAAATTCTTGAAAAAGGTAGTGTTGATGTGCAAGTACTTTGAATTTTTTTTAATAGGAATCCTATTTTAATTTGTCTCATTTTTCAGATTTGCCGCATGTGGGTATTGGACAAACATAATGAAGTATGAATTATGAAATTTGAGGTAACCACTATTAAATTGCATTCTTTTAAGTTGTTCTAAATTTGGTTTGTATAAGATGTTTTGTTGTTTTTTGGTGTTTTCTTTTTGGATATTTTTTGATGTTTTTAGATTCGTTTCAGGGCTATTTCAGGGTTGTTTTGAAGGTTTATAGCTGCTGTTTTTGGGACAGAAGTTCAGGGCTGTTCGGGTGCTTTTCGGGGTTGTTCTAAAGGCCTTTTCAGTGCTGTTTTTGGGGACCTTAGTTGCTGCTTTTTGGAATTTTATTGGTATTTTATATCTGGTGTTTTTGGGGACTTTTTGATGTTTTCTGGACTTTTATTGATGTTTTGTAGCTACTATTTTTGGGGACTTTATTGCTGTATTTGGGGCCTGGGGCTGCTGTTTATGAGAGGATGTTTTATTGCTACTTTTGGTTTTATTTTGTTGGGACTTGTTTAGGGGACTTCTGTTGTTTTTATTATTTTTACCTTGGACTGGACTTGGACTTGTTGAATTTGGATTTGAAAAGTTTAATTTGGATGTGTTAGGTTGTATTTTTGTTGTTGAGACCAAATGAAAAGGCCCATATATTTGGGCCTAGTAAACAATCCTAAAAAAATTGTTTTTTTTTTTTTTTTGCAAAAATTCGGTTAACCGACCGAACCGACCGAATAATTCGGTTCGGTCGTATTTCAGTTTTAGAAAATATTTCGGTTGGTTCCATTTTTGGTATATATTCGATCGGTTAATTCGGTGTTTTAGTTCGGTTCGGTCGGTCGACCGAACCGACCGATGAACACCCCTATGTAGGGGTGCATAAGGGGCACGAAGTGCGCGTACTTTATGAGTCTATCAACTACGTGTTGGGTTCGATATACTGTACGGAACAGAATAAGCAGCGGAATTTTAAAATTTTATAAGTATTTATCTCATAAATACTTATTCCGTAGATAAGTATAACGATATAACGTATAAGCATCATTTAAAATCTAGTAACATTTACTAATTTTGATTTGTGAGATAATTTCTAAAATTACCTTTTTATCTCCTCCTCGTCGTTGTTTGTGGAAATCAATTTCCGGTTTGAACTCTTCTCGCTTTAGGAATCCAAATGTCTTCCCTCTAATCGAGTCCACCTTTTGAAATCCAACACCGATAACATCTTTGTTCGCTAGTAGAAAAGTATCGGTTTTGATATAGAATATTAATTAGAGGATTTTAATTGGGAGATAATTTTTTTTTATTATTTAAGAACTCTTTCTTAAATTTTTATCTTGAAGAACAATTCTTCTTTTTCTCTCTTTTCAACTCTTGAAAAATTTCAAAACTTAGCAAATATGTGCAAATATTTTGCACCTATCAATACTAAACTTTTTAGAATAAAATAATAAACATTTGGTAATTATTTATTTTAAAAAAATCATATTTTATTAAATAATCTCACCAAATATTGACTTTTAATTAATTATGTGAAGTGGTTCATAACCACCATCTACCACAATTATTTTGTCTTTTCATTATTTTAATATTTAATCATATTAAAGATAAAATAATAAAATAATAATTCTTGAAAATATTTTTCAAGATTTTATTAAAATAATCTTTTCTCCCAATTATAATATTATCCTCTTTATAATAATCATATTATTATTTTGGATTTGAATTTTAAAATCATATTTTAAAATCCAACTATTAATTTAGTAATTACATTAATTACTTAATTAATATCCAAAATTCAATTAATCAATCCAATTGATTAATTTATAATATTCCTTTAATTGATACCTAATTCATAATTAGATAATTAATTAAATAATCATTTCATTTAATTAATCAATATCAATTAATTCTAACTCTTTAGAAATATCACTTTAACTTGTTTTCATTCAAATATTGGTGTGACCTTTTAGTTTCACTATTAATACTAGTAATGGGTTTACAACTTACTTGTAATTTGAATTAATCATATTAATTCTTATTCTTGAAATTAACCCTTTAATTTCAAGAACCCACAAATCATGAGAACACCTAGCAAGTAGCATGATTACCTGGTATTAAGTGAATAGCGAGTAAACCTTTTCAATTACAATTACGTACATGTAAAATCCTTTCGACATCCAATTTCCCGACTAAATCTTGGGTATGAATTTATAAGTCGAAACCCAATTGATTTAATAACTATGATTCTATTTCAAGTTTCGCAATTCATTTATGAATCTCTATTCATCTCGCCTTGGCCAAGGACTTTGAATTACAAACTATGAAACACATAGGAAATTCACTTATCTTATAATTGTCGAATCCCTTGTTGGCCACTGACAAACTTCCATACATATTAATATAATACCCAAAATATCCCTTTATACGATTGTGCTAGCAGTCAAAAAGATAAATCAAAGTATAATATAATATGCACAAAGTTACCATCGTGCCTCAAACTATTGTAACATGAAAATTCTTATTCGACAGAAAATCTTTCATTAAGAATTTTCATACGGTCATGTTCAGTAAACTTGTTCTCTAACAAGCACCTACATATATGTATTTGTGTCCCACGCTAATGTTGATGGAATGCAACATTCTTGTCCAACAAGCATACATCATATGTACTAGTCTTTCCGGATTATTCGATATCCCATTTCGAAATATCTTACGACTTGGAACTGAATTTAAGATCACAGCTTTCAAGATATGTTCCATGATCACCATCTCTATGCGCAACAATACCTTATAGCTATATATGATCTAGGGACTTTATCTTAAGTGCAAATATAGGATAAATGCTAATTCATAAGATAAACTAATGCCTATTTATTAATATAATTCTAATAGATCGTATTTACAAGTAGAATATGTCCAATCTGATTGGAACGACGGGTATTCTACTAACAATCTCCCACTTGCCCTAGTTCCAATCACTCACGTATCTTAGACCCATCTTCTCAAGATGTTCTTCGAACACTTTCTGTGATAAAGGCTTAGTTAAGGGATCTGCTATATTTTCTGCTGAGTCAACTCGATCCATAACGATGTCGCCTCTACCAATGATTTATCTAATCAAATGGTATCGTCTCAATATATGTTTGGATCTTTGATGAGATATTGGCTCTTTCGGTTGCGCAATAGCCCCATTGTTATCACAATAAATTTTTATTGGATCAACAACAGACGGTACTACACCCAACGCTTGGATGAATTTCCGTATCCAAACAACTTCTTTTGTAGCATCTGATACAACAATATATTCAGCCTCAGTTGTAGAGTCAGCAGTTGTTTCTTGTTTGGAACTTTTCCAACTAACTGCTGCTCCATTTAAGGTGAAAACGTATTCGAACATTGATTTAGAGTCGTCTTTATCAAATTGAAAACTAGAATCAGTAAATCTTTCTAGTTTCAATTTCCCATTGTCGTATATCATAAAAATATCCTTAGTTCTTCTCAAGTACTTAAGGATCATTTTAACAGCTTTCCAGTGTTCTTCACCTGGATTAGACTGATATCTGTTCGTTACACTAAGTGCATGAGCCACATCAGGTCTTGTACATAACATGGTATACATAATGCTACCAATAGCTGATGCATAAGGTATATGATTCATCCGTTCTCTTTCTTTAGGCGTCTTTGGAGACATTGCCTTAGAAAGTGAAGCCCCATGACTCATTGGAATATATCCACGTTTAGATTCTTCCATGTTAAATCGTTTTAGCACCTTATTTATGTACATCGACTGGGAAAGTTCAATCATCCTTTTAAATCTATCTCTATAGATTTTTATCCCTAGGATAAAGTATGCTTCTCCCAAGTCTTTCATGGAGAACTGTTTAGACAACCATGTCCTTGTTGACTGAAGCATTCCTACATCATTCCTAATGAGAAGAATGTCATCAACATAGAGCACTAAAAATGTTACTGCATTTTCACTAACCTTTTTATAAACACGTGGTTCATTCGGATTTTTATGAAAATCAAACATCTTGATCGTTTCATCAAACCGGATATTCCAACTTCTTGAAGCTTGTTTAAGTCCATAAATGAATCTTTGAAGTTTGCAAACTATTTGCTCACTCCCACTGGATATGAAGCCTTGTGGCTGTTTCATATAAATATCTTCCTTAATGTTTCCATTAAGAAAAGTAGTTTTCACATCCATTTGCCATATCTCGTAGTCATAATACGCAGCTATGGCTAGCAATATCCGAATGGATTTAAGCATTACTACTGGTGAAAAAGTTTCCTCATAATCAATTCCTTGTTTTTGAGTATAACCTTTTGCAACCACTCTTGCTTTATAAGTCCCTACTTCCCCATCTACTCCAAGCTTTCGCTTATAGACCCACTTACAGCCAATGGTTACAATACCCTCTGGTGGATCTACCAAGGTCCATACCTTGTTAGAGTACATAGAGTCCATTTCGGATTGCATAGCTTCTTGCCATTTCTTAGAGTCAATGTCCAACATTACCTCCTCATAGCTTATTGGATCATTATCCAAAAGAAGTCCCTATTTGTTGTTCCTTAACAATAGGTACAATCTATCAGGTACCTTGGAAACCCTCATGGACCTCCGAAGAGGTTGTGTTTCACTTTGCCCAGTCTTTACTGGTATGTTATCTGTGTTAATTTGTGGAATAATTTGTGGTTCTTCATTAAGTTCTAAAATCTCATTGTTTTCTTTAGAAAGAACCCCTTCTTCTAAGAAAACAGCATTCCTCGAAACAAACACCTTTTGTTCTGAGAGATCATAGAAATAATATCCTATAGACTCTTTTGGATACCCCACAAATTTACATAAGATGGATCTCATATCCAACTTATCTCCCACTTGCTGCTTCACATAAGCATCACAACCCCATACTTTCATATACTTATATGAAGGGGTTTTACCATACCATATCTCATAAGGTATGTTAGGCACAGCTTTACTTGGCACTCTATTCAAAATATGTGCAGCTGTTTCTAAGGCATAGCCACAGAATGAAAGAGGTAGTGTAGTGGAACTCATCATTGATCAAACCATGTTCAACAATGTTCGATTTCTCCTTTCTGAAACCCCGTTAAGTTGTGGAGTTCCAGGAGGAGTCCATTGTGATAGAATCCCATTATCCTTTAGATAATCTAGAAACTCATTAGTCTAATATTCACCTCCTCGATCTGATCGAAGAGTTTTAATACAATGACCGGTTTGTTTCTCTACTTCATTTCAGAATTCTTTGAACTTTTCAAATACTTC